ATCTTTTAAGACTTGTTTAACGGAGAGATAGAAATCCCCAAGTTTCATTAAACTTCATGTTTTGAAGATGAATTATGGGTTTGGTGAGTAAATGACGACAACATAAATTTTGGGGTGAACTGTCTCTTTAAATACTCTTTAGTTAAATTATTGAGTTATTTTAGTATCATTGATATACTACTACAATTTTTGTTAATATTTTGAATGAAATTTTACTTTTATATTTTCCGTTTTCATTTTAATTTTAGTTAACGTTTTACTAATTTTTTGTGTGTTTTTACTATTTATGTTGTTTTTAAATATGTCTACACAGTTTTTATTCATTTTATTTCCGTTTTAGTTATTCTACTACAAGATAAACTAAATGAAAATGAGAACTGTTGCCTTGGCAACTTGATAATAATTTGAATTAAATTTTACTTTATTTTCTGTTTTCATTTTAATTTTAGTTAACGTTTTAGTAGTTTGTAAAATTGTTTTAAAATATGTCTATACAGTTTTTATTAACTTTTATTTCAGTTATAGTTATTTTACTACAAGATAAACTAAATGAAAATGTGAATTGTTGCCTTGGCAACTTGTTAATAATTTGAATTAAATTTTACTTTTATATTTTCTGTTTTCATTTTAGTTAACGTTTTAGTAATTTTTTTGTGTGTTTTTACCATTTCTGTTGTTTTTAAATATGTCTATACAGTTTTTATTCACTTTTATTTCAGTTTTAGTTATTTTACTACAAGATAAACTAAATGAAAATGAGAATTGTTGCCTTGGCAACTTGTTGATATTTTGAATTAAATTTTACTTTTATATTTTCCATTTTCATTTAAATTTTAGTTAACGTTTTAGTAATTTTTTGTGTGTTTTTACCATTTCATTTTATTTTCGCAATTCATTTTTTTTTATGCTAACAATGAAATTCATAATAGTTTTAGTTAACTATAATAACCCTGCTATACAACTAATTGAAGTATTGTTATCAGGAATATTTTAACTCGTATTCTTTTTGCGTGAAGGTGCTTTAGCCTCAAACCTGTTAACTCACCCGTCACAATAACGCGAAACTCAGATCTGCGCGACGGGGGCCCAAACCTTCCCCGCGGTCCTCCTCCTCCTCCTGCAGGTCCACTAAATTTGGATCCGGAAGATCGTGGATATTCCACACGCAGCTTACAGTCTCCAAATCCATATCCATTCCTTCCAAAGACGGCGTCCTCCGCATCCCTAGAGGAAGAGAGGAAAGTGCTCCTAATTTTCGTTCTACACGTGAAAAAGCCTCGTCCGCGTGTTCTCGGAGGCCTCGCGACTCACCGTGGGTCCTCAAATCGCACGAAGGCAAACGGGATGGTGCCTCTGTTGTTCTTCAGCTCAATATCCCGAAGTTTTCCGTATTTGAAGAAGAGATCCTCAATGTCCCTCTCCTGGACGTCCATGGGAAGGTTTCCCACGTAGATCCGTCCGTCCGACATGGCTTGAACCCCGCTGGACCTGCCGCCTTCGAGGAAAATAGAGCGTTTTCCGCGTCAGGGCGCTCAGAACATCCAAACTCTAGTCCGTCCTTCTAAAAGTCTCTATTCACAACTCTAATCTCTGGCGGTCACAGAACATGTCGAGTTCAAGAAACCCAGCATACGAGCCTCCAGGACCACAGTCTGAAAACTTAGAAACAAGGACAATCAATTAAAATGGACATATATGAGGGACAGACGAGGAACAAGGGCCTGATGCCTCCAATCCACCATGAAACATTTGAATAACGTCTGCAAACCACATTTACATCTGATGCACTAATTCATTAGCCTGTAAATCATAATTAACCCCGTTCTGTAGGGTAAATATCACCTCATTTTGACATTTGTGACCCTGGAGCAGTCATAAGTCGCTGGGGTATATTTGTAGCAATAGCCGACAATACATTGTATGGGTCAAAATTATTGATTTTTCTTTTATGCCAAAAATCATTAGGATATTAAGTAAAGATCATGTTCCATGAAGATATTTTGTAAATTCCCTACCGTAAATATATCAAAACTAAGGCCTAGTTTTGCTAAGAACTTCATTTGAACAACTTTAAAGATGATTTTCTCAATATTTTGATTTTTTTGCACCCTCAGATTCCAGATTTTCAAATAGTTGTATCTCAGCCAAATATTGTCCTATCCTAACAAACCATACATCAATGGAAAGATTATTTATTGTATAAATCTCTATTTCAAAACTGAACCTTATGACCAGTTTTGTGGTCCAGGGTCACATATGATTCATATTAAGTGACCATACTTCTAGCTAAGGCCTAGAAAAATTACTTTTAACATGTTAAATGGCATGCAACATACATTTTAATAGACAGGACATAATACGTAACTGCCAAATCAACCTCTGATATGAGCTTTGTAAAGAGAATCGCTGTGCAAATATGTGTTTAAATATTTAATACCACAATCTGTTCATATTTAATCTACTTTTTTTCTGCAGACTTTCATAATTCAATAAAAGAAGTCGAATGCAAATCAGAGGACAGCCATGACAGCTGCTAACAATGCTAGCATATCATCTTACGCATTTAATTCGTTATTTAATTCAAAATATCAACCTAAATCCGTCCATCTCCACTAATATATGTAGTATTCAGCTTAACAAATCTAAAATTTTAATATTTGTGTTTAATAACAATACAACACAATCACATTAGCACACTAGCTGTTAGCTTCTTTGTTGAGACAACGGCTCAAAGCAAAATGACAAACACCAGCGAATAATGAGGGCGACCTTTTTTTGTCATGCACGAATGTGGTTAAAGATGAAATATAACGGAAATTAATAGTTTGATTTACCTCTGTAATTTGCAGCTCGTAATAAAAAACCGAGGATAAACAAGCGCACGCGCTTCCCCTCCCCGGATCAGGAAGTGACACACACAAACTTCCGCCCCCTTCAGACCGAAACGAGCAACTGCAGCAGACGCCTGAAGCCTGTACAAATACAGACAAAACACCAACAGAAAGGTAGCCTTTATCGGGGTTATTACAGTTTAAATAAAATAGTTGAATATAGAGATACAGTTTTCATTGCTTTAGGATTAACAGAGCTCTGGATAGTTTCCATGTACCTGTCCAGATCATCTTTGAATAAAGAAAAGAGAGGTTTAGAGACAGTTTTTTAAAATTGTGTATGTGAAATTTAACTAGCAGGAAACACGTTAAGTTATATTTTCCTATATTCTCTTTTGAGTGTTCAAACAAGCCAAAGAAAACATCTTTAAAACAGAAAGAAAAGTCACTTACAACATTGCCAAACCATGTGAATGACATGAGAAAAAAACAGCAACTCGCTTCAATGTCTGACTTACAATTCTGTCCATAAGCTTTTTGTGAAATTTGGAATAACTCATTAATCGGTTGCTTGACCTCCAAAGACGGACATTACTTGTTATAATTTATATATATATATATATATATTTTTTTTTTTAGGTTTTAATCA